AAAGACAAAATTTATTAAGAGCTAAAAGGGACAAGAAGATGTGAAGGGCCATGATCACCTACGTCCTGAAGGGACACAGCTCATAAAAGAAGATTTATGAAATGGCCAAGTAATTTATGTATTTATATATGAATAAATGTTTAAGATTAATCTCTGTTTTAGTTGCATTTTGTGATTTGTATTTTCCTTAATCATTGGATTTATAATTCTAGATCATGGCTCTGCACAATTTCCTGTTCTTCAGCACAGTATTGCACAACAAGGCATCTTTGGATCAGTATGGCGAGTCCAATATATTTGTCAACAGGGAAATGAACCTGGGAATCTTAAAATAACTTATTTTGACTAAGGAGTTGCCATTTTTTCATTAACCAGAGATCTTTATTGAACCATGAAATGCATTGCAGACAGTAAATCAAAGGGCAGATAATTCAGTATCAGATTCAATTTCAATGAAAACTTATGAATCAAATTTGAGATGTTGATGTGAAATCTGACCATACATGACTCATGCTTAAAATTTGTAGTGTCCTATTCAAATTCAACAAGGGAAAAGCCATATTTTGTAATGTGCTTTTTTTTTTCTTTCTTATTTTTTAAATGATGCATATAACATTGATGTTCTCTCAGTTAAACTTGCATTAATTCCTCTGTGTGATCATGACTCTCCACAATTTCTTGTCCTTTGTAGCTCTTAATACATTTTGTCTTTTTGTTGTCTCCTAAGCTTTGTTCTGTCATCCATTTACTGAAGCTTACTAATAGGTTATGCATTGTTTCCTCCTGTCCTGTGAGTATCAGAATCTCCAAGCCCTCTTTCCTCATTAAATGTTCCAAAAATTGCAACTCTTTCTTCCTGATATTAAGTATAAGTTTGCATTTTGTTTCTATTTTCTTTAAAACTTTGTCATTGCAAACATGTTTGGTCCATGGTATCCTCAGTATCTTTCTGTAGAAGCACATTTCTGTTGCTTTAAATCACTTCTTCATCTGTGAAGAGATTGTCCAGCATTCACTGTCATATAAGAGGATTGATAATATGCCAATTTTGATCATTCTGATTCAATCATATCAGGATCAACTAAGTGCACTAGAACTTTTTTTACTACTATCATTTTTGGGCAGTCTGTATGTAGTGTAATAGATGTCTGTGTGGAAAGTGGAAAGCTCAGTTTAAATATCCATCTCATCTGTTGCATTCACTTTTGCACAACTGCTTTTGGAAAAGGTATGAATCTGTCTCTTCTCTCCACCCAGCTATGGGTTAAATAGTAGACTATGGTCTGAATTCAAGATCATGAAAAAGACAATTGGAAACCACTGAACTATCATTCTCATGAATGCATATCAGTTCACAGATAGCAAAAATACAGAATCTATGAAAAGTCATAATTGCCAAAGTTAAAGGGTCATTTCTTTAGTCAAAGACTTAAGAGACACTCAAGGCAGAGAGTCACTGAATGATGTTGTTGTGGGACATAAAGAGAGGAAGTAATGTGTATATTATGAAAACATGTAGGATAGGTAATGGTTAACCCTAGACAAGAAGAGACTAAGATCATAGTGATCAAGGAAGCATTTCCTCAGGAGTCTGTTCCATAAAATAACAGGAAGAAGCTGAATAGAACTTCCTCCTTACCAATGGAATATGTAGAAAATGAAGACAAGTTGACCTTGTGTATGTGGCATGGTGGTTCCTGGCTGTGAAGGTCTGAACTGGTAGAAATATAGCTTGCCTGAACATTTATCATGGATATTATAATAGAACAGCTGAAGATGAGGAATGTTTTATTTGTGAAGAAGGGATTGCAAGTTAGGAAATAATTCATAACCCACATGACTAAATACTCAATTTTGAATTCCATCAAGACTAGATGGTAAATATTGGGCAGCTCCAGCTAAGATGTCACAGTAATAATCCATTTTTGGTCTAATTTGAGTTTTGTAAAGATAGAGCATGGCGAGATGAGTCTGGTACATTGCAGAGAAGGATAAAAAAGCAAATTTTCCCCAACATCTTTAGTGATGGTAGAAATATCCAAGTGTCACTTTATGCTTGAAGTGAGTCCTTCTCAAAAATGAAGAAGAAACTTAAAGCAACTTATATAAAAAGATACTGAGAATACCATGGACCTGACATGTGAGCATCCTAGCAGATGAAGAAATGTAGGTCTACAGAAGGATGCTGAGAATACCATGGACCTAACATGTGAGCATCTGAGCAGATGAAGAAATGTAGGTCTACAGAAGGATGATGAGAATACCATGGACTGAACATGTGAGAAACAACAAAGTTGTAGAAACAATGGAAGCAAAAATAACACACTTAACATCAGAAAGAGTCTCAATTTCTCGGGCACATTATGAGGAAAAAGGGTTTGAAAATTTTCTTGCTCACAGGACAGTTTGAAGGAAAGAATCAGAGGAAAAGAACATATAATCTACCTAATGAGCTTGTGTAAATTGATGGTAGCACAGGGTTTACAAGCGATAACAAAAAGACAAAATTTATTGATAGCTACAAAGGACAGGAAATTATAGTGACCCATGATTGTCAACATCCTGAAGAGATACAGCACAAAGGATTTTTAATCCCAATGGACACTTGAGGCAAGGAGTCTCACTGAGAGTACAACTGCTCATCAGGTGTATATTGGACTGGAGTTTGCTTGATGGTGATAAGATATTATTAGTTTCGTTTTCAAGGTAAGGCATGATCTTCTTCTTATTGAGTTGCTATACCACACTACCACACATAGTCTTGCCTATTGTTAAGGTTTCAAGGTTCCATAAGTGTTCATGGATCTTCAAGATTGGACCAAACTAGATGTTCCATAGCTTGTGATTGCCTGCATTGGCAATTTGGATCAGCATTGGCAACATATCCCCATTTCTCAAGGTTGGCTCTACAGTTACCAATTGCTGTTCAAAGGTGATTCAAGCAGAACCAGAAGGGTCAGGCATCACTGTATCCAAAGAGAGATTCTTTAGTTCTGAGAGAAAGCCTGTATTCCATGCTGTTAAGGTGCATAATACGACTTTAGTATAATATATTTAACATACTACCAACAAATCAACAAAAAAGAACTTTTATAACATTAAGCCATATAATATCCTACAAATTCTTAAATTCCAAAATATAACTTCAACAAAACTACAATATAAAACATACCTATCACCATATCTAGTAATTATATATATACAAATATGTATATGCATAAAAGCTGGGTATCATCTGCCATATATTCAGTTGTAAAAGCAGAATAATACATATCATATTTTTATTACTTCAAATTTTCCAAGAAAATTAAATTCTGGCATTAAATGACCTATGAGGAGTTGATGCGCCATTGAAAAGACAAATCTGTCAATCTCATATATTCTTCTTCTTATCAAGTCACTACACTACACCCAGCTGATATTGCACACAGAGACTTGCTTGGGGTGTTAATGTTTCAAGGTTTTTAAGTGTTCATGGATCTTCAAGATTGCACTAAACTAGATGTTCCATAGTTTGTAACTGCCTATATTGGCAGTTTGGATCAGCATTGGTGATATATCTCCATTTCTGAAGGTTGACTCTACAGTGACCAACAGCTGTTCAAGGGTGATTCAAGTAGGACCAGAAGGTTCAGGCATCACTGGAGCCAGTGGGAAGGATTCTATAGGGCTGAGAAAAAGCCTGTACTCCATGTTGTTAAGGTGACTGCACCACAGGGACAGACACTGATAAGGAGCTTTATTGTTCAGTGGCTCAACTGAGTGTAAAAAGCTTTCTTGACTTCAGCCTCTTCGTCATTGGTTCACAGCCATGGAATAGATCACACGGTCAATTTCCTATTTCTCAAACTGACAGTATCATAATGAATGATACAAGGCAGTCTTTCCATCAGTGAGCTGTGACAACTCAGTTAGTAGAGAGATCAGTTGTCAGGCTCCAGTCTTCTAGATTTTTCATAACAGTTTGTCCAAGTGCTCATTTACACACAGATTTCCCTGTCAATTACTGTGATATACCAGTAAACAGATTGCTAATGGAATACAGTACAAGGACATAGATCCATACCATTCACAAAGCTATTGATGAACAAATAGAAAAAACTGTCTTTGCTGAAATTTGAACCCTCATTGCTGATTCTATTTTCTGGACTGATAACTAATTTGATACCTTGCACCTTCATAAGCTGAATGCAGGGAGAGGTGGATTCATGCCTTTTCCAATGGTATTAGTATTGAGTGACCTTCAGAAATTTGAACAGATTTCTGATTTTTAAGTATGTGTATAGCTAAGTATTTATCGTGTTAGCATACCGACAATGAGACCTGGGTTAAAATCTTGCCATGGTCAATTTGTCTGGGAGGTTATTTTTAATATTAGCCTGGGAAAATGATCCCAACATGTACTATCGGAGAGTATCTGAAAACCATATCACAGGGAATTTTGAACTAAACCCTACAGGTCCCCCAGATTGATCCAAAGAAGCTGAACTGTTGTGATTGTAACAACAAAAACAAGGATATTAGCCTGGTTGTAAATAACATAAAATATAACTCCTCATTCCAGAAATTCAGACAACTGTAGTGCCACATCTTTAATAATTTTATATTGGCTTACGCCTATATCATATTGTGACACCAGATCACAAGATCACCAAAGTTAAGCAATGGTGATGCTGGTTTTATACCTAAAGTGAGGGGAATTAGAGTAGGTCTGGTCAATATGGAAGTAATGTGAAGGGTTTCATTTATAATCATCAGTTTTAATTAAGTGACATAAATGAATATGCCTAGAAATTAATAAATTAGCCTCTTTATGGATTTCAATATCAAAACTTGATCTAATAGTTGGGTGCCTGTCAATTGATCGGTGGACTTGCTTTTTTCAGCTTATCAATCATTTTAGTTATATTATTTAACCCATAGCCGGGGGGAGAAGTGGTGAATTTATACCTTTCCCAAGAATATTTGCACATAAGTGAATATAGCAAACTCGACTTTGCTTATGGCCACACCACATTGAAACACCACTTCCCTGTACAATCACTGAAGTTAAGCAATGTTGAGCCTGGTTAGTATCTAGATGGTGACTGCTTGGGAATACCAGGTGCTATAAGCTTTGGTGATATAATGGATAATAGATAATAATATGAGAGTCAAGTTCCAATTCCAGTTGGGTTCATTATAGAAAAGAAATTTCATGTCTTGGAATAGCCTAGTCAAAATCACAATCTAAATTAAATTGAAAATCTGTGGTTCAAGTTAAGGAAGGCTGTGTATGCATGAAACCCAGGTAATATCAAGCAATTGTTGGAGTTTTGCCAAGAAGAATGATCAAAAATTGATGCTCACTACTGCTAGGAACTTCTTAGAAATTATAAAAAAAATCTGGTCAATGTTGTGACCTCAAAAGGAGTCACCAAATATTAAATGTCAGAGTTCACTTACTTTTGCATGTCTTAATTGTCAATTAATATATTTATTCCAGCTTTATAAAATTTCTTAAGTGGTTGTAATTATCTAAATGAAGTTTTTTCTTAATGAACATATAGTTTAAGATTTGTTAAAAAAAAAATGTTATTTTTTTTAAATATTATTAAATTTTTTATTTATTAATCCAACAGACTTTTATTACTTTATACGTTATTTTTAGTGGGTATACATATTTGAGTAGATGATCCATTCATTTATTATATGTTTATTTAGTTTTGACTATTGGTTTGAATATTCGAGAAAAATATGTGCCCTCTTGGGGGAAACTAAAAAGCGCATATTTTTCTCAAGTAATAGCATCCACTAAAAATAACATTTATGTAATAAAAATCTGTCAGATTAATAAATAAAAACTCTAGCCCTTTTCTTTAAAAATTATTTATGTTAGGATACAAAACTGAGAAGATATGTCAGGGAAAGATCTGTGTTTAAAGGCATTATTCATACATACATGCATAGTGTTTGTCTGCTGGCTATGACTGACATTTTCATAAGCATAAAATGCACAATCATCAGGCAACTGATGTCAACAGCATTTATTCACCTTTGGCTAATCCATGGTACTACACCTTGAGTAGCTATTATATATGTGCATATTTACTACACCAACTATAATCACTAAGGGAAAAAAATAGCTTCATGGTACATGATGGTACAGCCAAGTCTATAAGGCTGGCTATTATAGTAAAGCCAAATTTAAATGGGGAGAGAGAAATTGTTTTTTTTATATAATTATTAATTATATAATTTATTATAATTAGACCATAGCTCTGCTAGCAAGCCATAGATCACTATTCCTATATATCTAGCTCCTACTTCTGACATTGAATTTAATTTTATATATATATATATATATATATATAAGTTTGTTTTATGAAGTAATTAAGTGTTCGCTTTTGGTGTGAAAAGGCTTACTTTGTGATTGTCAGCCTAATGTGTTCATGAGTGCCTAGACAAAGAATTAGTGGCTGCTAGTTAATCCCTCCTATTGTGTGCCCAGACAAAGTCTTAGTCAGCAGTTGCTGGCTGTCGTCTCATTTAGCTCAACCTAGCCTCAAATTGTTTTGAACCTCAAGAAGCTGTAGGCTTCTATTTTTATATCCGTAAGGTGGATCTGAAATCTTATTTCACATAGATTTGTGAACTTTTTGAATAAAGGTTTTCATTAGTTAAAAATAATTTCACACTGGCTTGCAAAAATCTTTTTCTCAAATCTGTGGCAAATGGTGTTATTTTCTAAATGGTTAAAAAAAATAACGTGTTGTGTCGTAGGCCTACAACTATGTCTGCCAAGTATTTTGATGGTATTTCCCATAGTGATGATTGCTTATCAAACAAACCTTCTGATAGGATTTTATTGGTTGAAAAATATATATAGGATTTAATTCCTATAATACATCAGTTTGGTGGAAAAGGAGGGTAGTGTCATTCAGATGAAATGGCAAGTTCTAAAATTCCTTAGAGAAATCAACCAAAATATAAGGTAAGGAATGAAAACAAAATAGTCTTAAGTATCAAAGACTACCTGCAGTGCAGGAGATAGTGAATAGGTGATATGTAATATGAATGCATTATTGATAACTTTTATTAAGGAAATGCAATGCAAAAACAGATTTTAATGAAACTTTCAAGACTTATTCACAAATAAATTATTTTAGAAACATTTCCTTTTTAGAAAATCTTGGTAAAAAATATTTGTTTTATATATGTTACCCCACACTTATTTAATTTTATAAAATTTTGAGAAATTCCTTTTTGTAGTGCTTAATATTTACATTCGTTATAAGCACAAGCCCTTAGAGAATTTAAATGCTCAATTTTTAATGTTTCTGTTTCTAATTATTCCACACCCTGTAACCCCTTGTGTCTTAGTGGATTTACTGTTTTGTGTGGAGTAATACCAATTAAAAAAAAAAAAAAAGTTTTAAAAATTTGAGGGTAAATTTATATTACTTTTAAGTCAGTCAGTTATGTGCCATGCATGATACATGCTTAGGTGATTATGTATCTTTCAATACATGACTGATGAGGCAGATTCTTTTTCCACAGTAGGTTGCCATTTCTTTCTGCGGTAGACCAGTTGCCATCCAAGGCTATAGAACCAGGTCTCTCCTGCTATTTACCCATAGCTAGGGAGGGAAAGAAGAAGAGGTTTCATACCTTCCCCAAGGGTATTAGCACAAAAATGAATGCAATGGATTTGACTCATTCATGAGGCACAATGTCATAGAATTGCATTATGAATTTACAGTTTGAATCTGATATTTCAAAACTGTTATCATTGCATAGCAGTCTTCTGTATATACAGACAGATATCACGCACATGTACATAATTCCCGTGAGCTCAAAGCAATAAAATGTATGTGAAATATATATATATATATATATATATATATACATACACACACACACATTTTTATATATATATAATATATATATATATATAATATACACACACATATATACAGGGCATGCCAAAAGTTGCACTACTATTAGAAAGCTTTGTAAATTTGATATTTATTTACCAGATTAATGTTTCTGTATGTGAAAATATATTATTAGGAAATTTTATTGGTCTAATTATGGAAGATGATGCCATGCAAATTTCCTCTGCTTGCTATTTCCAAAGTGTACATTTTCTGCCAACTGTAGTATGACTCTTAAGGCACCTTGTATATATACAGTATACATGCATAAACACACACACACATATATATAATATATATATATATATATATATATATATATATATATGTAGTATACACTCACCAGAAGTGTTGAAACAAAATGGCTATTTTTGTAGTGATTTTAGAACATATTTGTTAGAATTTTCAAATAAATTATATTTGCTCTACACCGTACTTTTAAAATAGTATTTTTGAGTTATTGGAATTTATTCGGATACACCAATCCTATACTTGAGTGTATGTGTGTGTGTGTATATATATATATATATAGTACACACACATATATATATATACACACACACATATATACATATATATATATATATATATATATATATATATATAATTACACACATATGTATAGTATATACACACACATATATATATAGTACACACACATGTATAGTATACATACACACACATATATATATATATATGTATAGTACACACACACACACACACATATATATATATATATATATATATACACACACACACACACACATATATATATATATATATAACACACACACATATGTATAGTATACACACATATATAGCACATGCACACATATACAGTATACACATACAGATATATATCGATATCTGCTGTATATATTTATATACAGTAGATGTAAGATGTATATATACTAAACTAATAAAAAATACAGCATGACATGTACAAAGAATAGCATTGATGGAGCTCTCTCTAAAAAGGAATAATTAATATATACAGTTAAAAACTACAATAACATATTTATTATAAAAATTATAATATACACTACAACTTGTTAAAATTTACCTTGTGTATATAGTAGAAAACAGTTTTTTTTTTCTGTAGTGAACATATAGTGGGGATTTAGCGTGGTTTATTATTCTGAGTCAGTGAACTGATGAAGTTCCTCTTATACATAGGTTTGTATGCTTCCTTTCTACACTTTCCTTCTTTTTTGATGCCATGACAAGGACAGACTAATTAATATATTAATCAAAATAACAGAAATAATAGATTTCTCAAGGCTACTTTTTCATGCACATGCTAATATATAACTGTCTATATATATATATATATATATATATATATATATATATATTGAACAATAAAAAAATTAAAATATTAAAATCTTTAGACACACTGGGTTGTAGATTAATATTCTTTCGTTTTTTTTATTATTATTCCATTTAGATTCCTCGACTAGTTTTGACCAAAATGGCCATCATCGGGAGGAGAAATATTTCTGCTTACTGGTAGCAGTAAACTACAGAAATGAATGTCTTGATGGAGAAAATTAACTTTTGTCTGTAGTTTTCATTTGTTTTTTTATCTTTTTAACATGAATCTTTTAACATTCCTTGTGTTGGTCAAACAGTCTCTTTTAAGTTATTTAAGATAAGAGCTGGATAGATACATGTTGCTCTGAATTCTCTGGTCAGTTTGATGATTTTATTGAACCTGGTGAGGGGATGTGTGTGTGTGTATGTATATATATATATATATATATATATATATATATATATAATATAGGAGGCATGGTGGGGTAATGGATATCGACTTGGATTGTGGAATCGCAGAGCCGAGTTCGAATCCAGGTTGAATCCATTACATTCATTTACATGCTAATACCCTTGGGAAAGGTGTGAATACTCTTCTCCCTCCAGCTATGGGTTAAATATCAGGACAGACTGGATTCTTTAGCCTTGGATGGCAAAACTAGTTTAGGAGAAGGACAAATTGAATTCAAAACCTGAGGGGGTGTTGTTTAGGACCTTGTGGCACGAAGTGCACCAGGTCTCTGTATTCTCAATTGTTCAAAAAAGTGTGGATGGTCCTGCACGAAACCTTCACCACTATAATCGAATCTTATGTGCCGGTGTCGGGCTGTCAGTTTCTTGGAAACTGATCTGCTTGACCCTCATACGTCGAACCCGACGGGA